TTAAGCGCGGCCACGCGAACGTTTGCTGTTTACGGTGTTTATTACCCGACAACCGACAACCGTCCGAGTCTGTGGCGGCTGCAGGTGTACGGCTGTACACACTGTGAGTACCACCAGACTGCTCACTGATCTGAGATTTGCCCCGCAAACATTTCGACTGAACCCATGCCGTTAATTATGAATTTATCAGTCTTTTGCATGCCAAAGTCAATATCTGCATAGAAATATTACGCCAAATAGAAGCAGAAAATCGTGCTATACGCACTTTCATGAGATCGGCTTAGCCTACAACAATTAATTTGTTGGCTATTTTACAAATGGGAATACAACGAATTCATGAATTTTAAAGCTGTTTTTTAAAGCATTTGCTGCATGGATAAAAAATATAAATAATTAACATATCATACAAATTTGCGTTGCAGCAAATCCTTTAAATTTTAAGGTATTTAGAACAGAGCAACATAAAAATCAGAAAAAGCATAATCGGGCCTATTATTTTATAAAAGCACAACGTTTTGTTGATATTGTGAGTGCACACAAATAAAACTAGACCCTTTACAGTTTAGAATGATGTATTACTCTTACTTTTATGAGCAAAAATGACTGCGTATTTTAAGTTGTTTCCACAGTTAGAAACAAATGCAAGTGATCGCACTGGCGCCTCCATGTCCTGCAGAGCGAGCTTCAACTTCCACTCTCCACACAAACGATTGGATATGCGTCTAACAGCGCACATTTATATAGGTTAAAACCTTTAAACTAACATTGTGAAATACTTGAACTGTTTTATATATAGATTTTATTTTAGGCAAGTCCTAATGATTTGAGAAGGCTAAATTGATCAAACATAGGCTATAGGCTATGATCAAATCACTGTCTGCCGCTGGCATTTACTTAAAAAAACAAAAAAAACTTACATATTATTTATTTATTATTTATTTATTTAGTCATTTAGCAGACGCTTTAAACGAAATATAATCACTTTTCCATTACATACAAAACTGAACTATTTTAATAGCTGAAACAGTAGTATAAGCTTTTTTTGGGAAAAGGGGAAAAAAGACGGGCTAAATTTGAGACCCGTGCAGGGCTTTAATCCACTTCATCCAACGCTGTTTTGTTCTCATCTGTGAGCATGCTCTTGATATATGTATTTTAGGTGTGTAAATGTATAATTGCCTTTTCATTATTTTTTTCAGTTTTATTTAAATTTGTAGTTAAAACAACTAAAAATAAATGTATTTTAAAGTTTAGAATTAGACAGCATACAGGCTTACGCTGAAAACAACAAAATGGAACCTCAAGGTTGATCTAGGTAAATGTGTGCAAATGTATAGGGCCCCATTCCTATATTTTGCCTGGGGCCCCCAATTCACTAAATCCGCCCCTGCCACCAAGAGAGCCATGGACCGCCTGCTGGCTTGGACAGGCATTACAGAGGATGAGAAAGATTCATTGCTGACTTCTGATAATGTCCTTATCTCTACACCACCCTTTGACCTCTGATGGTTTACAGTGTCAAAGACCGCAGACAGGTCCAGTATAAAGACAGATGATTTGGAGTTTGCTCTTGCCAGCCAAAGAGTTAAAACAATAGTCAGCAGGGCAGTCTCGGTGAAGTTTCCGCCTCTGAAGCCAGGCTGGTTGTCATCACGTAGGTTGTTCTGTTGGAGAAAAGCAGAGAGCTAATTGAACTCTTTCAAGGGTTTGACAGAAAAGGAAGAAGAGAGATTGGTCTGTAGTTTTTAACTGCTAACGGGTTGAGTGGTGGCTTTTTGAGGGTACGTCCAACAAGATTTTATTTAAAGGGGTCATATGATGCGTGGGGGCGTGTTAGAACGAGCCGTTTTAGGTAGGTGTGGCTGACTCTGAACTTTTATAAAGAATATCTCTTTGGATTTGAGACTTTAGTCTTTGCAACTTTACAGATCTTCTTTATGCACCAAGAGCTTGTAACACTCCAAAGAGAAAGGAAAAATCTCATCATATGACCCCTTTAATATAACAGGCATTATATGTGTTCTTATGATGCCTACATTTTCAAAAGAAAACGATATAAGAAATAATCAGTAAAATATTTTCCTACCTCTGTACCACATCTTGGGCAACTCAATCCAGCTATACTAATCAAATCTGCATGTGTTCTCGAAGAACCTAATTAGCCAGAACGTAATTAGCACTATTAGGCTATTAGATCTTGAATTTGTCATTTGATTGCAGATGTAACGAGCAAGATACAAAGAACAGACCCCAAAAGAATCACACTCAAATTCGCCATTCCATGTATGGTCTAAAACACAGTTGTCATCATCTTTTGCCACAGAACAACAATTGAGAGTAAATATCTTTGCAGAAATGTAATATGAATCTTATGTAAAGTGACAAACATATCTTTAGTAACATGAATAAATGAAATGAATAGCAGGCACAACATGCATGTACAACCATGCACAATGTGTGTGGGTACAATGTGCATCACTGTTTTCGAATACCTTCGTTTTCATAGTCCACACTACAACATGAAAGCTGCATTCTCTGGGAGAGTGTCTTCAAAAAAGCTCTGTTTTCGCTGGACTTGGTGTAGGCTAAAACACAAATAATATGTGTAGTGAAAAATGTAGCCAGATGAATGTGGACGTAGCCTGAGCAGATTTTACCCGAGCCTGTTTAAATGCAGTGGGAAAGTTGTCAGTAGTGAAAGATGTGCTGATTAGGTAAGTCAGAGCGGGTAGCAAAGATCTCCTTTAATACGTGGGGAGGGATCGGGCCGAGTACGGCTGGCACAAAAACTTTGGAGACCTCGTTCTCTGTGAGGGGTGAGAAAGAAGAGTGGAAATGTGTGGGTGGAGGTTGGTTGTAGAGAACTGTTGCTGATGGATGCCATCGTATCAAATAGCTGGCAAAGTCAGAGAGGAAGTGGTAGGTGGAAGAGAGAGGAGAATGCAGTGAATAGTTTCCGGGTGTCAGGAGTCAGTGTTCGGTAGAAAACAGTATGTGTTTGTTTGATCACTGACTGGTTCTCACGCCCTCATTTCCATCACCTGTGCTTCATGTCCTGTTTGTATGTCCAAATGACCAGACTGTTCATTCACTCACTGCAAAGTCTCATTAGCTGAGCTGCGTTTCCTGTGTTTCCAGGTATTGTATGTTTGATTATGACTCTAATCTGCAGTTCTTGTGTTTGTTTGATTAGGCTACATTTTGGATTTGGTTGCCTGTTTTTTTCCTCTGTTCTTGCGTGTTTTAACTGATTCTTTTTGGACTTAAACTCCATATTTAGTGCCTGAATCATTATATCTAACATTGCACATGTATGTATGTGATAAATACATTCAAATGCTTTTTTTTTTGTTGTTGTTACACTTTATTTTAAGGTGTACTTGTTACAGTGTAATTATACATTTAATTACTGAGTAATATTAATTAACTTCATGCACTTACTATATGGTTAGGTTTAGGATTAGGGTTTGGTTTAGTGTTACTTGTATTTAATTATGCATAATTTATCAATATTATAATAGTACAAGTAACGTATAACAAGGACACCATAAAATAAAGTGTTACCTTTTTTTAACAGTAAAGGGGTTTTATATTATAAGGGTTTTTGGAATGTAATAGAAACACATAGATGAGCCACATAAAATAAAACGCATAGTTGCACATGCATCACAAAACCATAACTACAGTGTTTGTTTTATTTATTTACTTATGTCAAATCCAATGCATAGTGAGGGAAATCAGGATTTTGTGGACAATTACTTGTTTACATTCGGTCACTTTGTCCAATAATAATAATATAGTTACATTTATAAAGCACCTTTCCCACAGCTCAAAGTACAGATACAGAAACTGAGGAAATGCTAAGAAGGGAGTGTTCCAGAATTTTGCTAAAGTATACTGCTCAGATAGAGGACATTTATGACTAATGCATTAAAAATGTAAAACAATATGACATTGACATTACAATCTGGCCTATTATAATATAAGCACAATGCCTGGCATCAATGAGTTTATTTAAGAACCTGTGGGGGGAGCCACATCCTGCCCTTCCTCGAGCCCACCAAACAAACACATCAAACTCCTGCAACGGGAAACAACCTGTTCACCGCTCCCACATTCCTGCAGCAATGATGGCGTCATGAAGTGTTCCTCAAACAAATTCCGATACAGACATCAAATCCTCATCATCCACAGGACTGAGCTCCAAACTCCTGACGCTTCTTACAGCAGGTGAGAGGAGTTTTATAGCATGCTGTCTTATATCATACTCTACTCTACAGTACATTAATATTAGGTATTTGATACTGTAGGCTGTGATAAAATTTCGTTTGTTCATTTTATTTTGCACAAACATTATGATTTATAAGAACGTCATATTTAATAAAAATGAGAGTTAAACCATGAAATCATGTGCAAAACAGATCACACGTTATATTTCAGTGCTCGTGTTACAGTGTATTAACCTGAAGTATGTGGGCTGCTGGTTTGAACTAAACGCATTGTTCTAAGTGTTTGATGGCTGCTTGTAATTGCATTTTAAATGTTTACATTTTCAGCAGCACTTTAAAACACACTTCTAGAGAGGTATGTGAACTGCATGAGCTCTGACTGGAGTTCAGCCAATGAAAGCAGCACGAAATGTTCTCACATGTTCAGCAGTGATGTTGTTGTTTTGATTTGTTAACCCATGTAGATCCATCATGATGTTGGAAATCTACCTGGTAATGACAGTTGCTGCCAGTGCTGTTTCTCAAGAGGCAGAAGAGCCCGTATCATATACGGCAAGTCTATTTACATAAAACTATAAATAATGCGTATCTTTGAGCAGGCTATGTAGTTTTGATATTGCAGTTCATATATATTTTAAATTGACAGGTAAAACATTCTTATACAGTGTTTTTTTCCCCTCACAGCAGTGCACAGAAGGCTATGAATATGATCCCATTAAAGAGGTATGCAAAGGTAATAAAATAATATTGTTGATATAGTATACTCTCTCTGACCAACAGTTGCCTCTTTGCCTATTTTCATGTCTCTGAGAAAGTGATTCAAAAGCATAATGCCAGTTTTCTCTCCATGTTCATGAACAGATATTGATGAGTGTGCCCTTGTCTCTGATGCCTGCAAAGGTGGCATGAAGTGCATAAACCACTATGGCGGCTACCTCTGCCTCCCTCAGAATGCCCAGATATTTGTCACTAATGGAGACGAATCATCCCAGCGCACAGACCCTATTCCCCAAACCCCCCTGAACCCTCTGAACCCCACTAACCCACAAACACGCACCCAGTCAAACCTCAGAGGTGTAGCAGCTGGAGCCTCACAGTGCTTGCCGGGTTTTACACTGGATGAGCAAAACTACTGCCACGGTAAGCCATTGTTCTTAACACAAAAGTATTTGTGACCGCATTAGTCTCATTTAAGAGAACTCTTTTTCCCCATCATTGATTTTCAGCAAACAGTGCAGTTGGTGCTAAATTTCCAGATTTTCTTTGAAAAGGTTCTAAACTGAAAGGTTATTTTTAGTCAGTAAACAGGAAACATGCATTTCAGAAAATTATATTTTCCCAGCATTAAAAGTGCATAAAAAGCCATAACATAATATTATAATTTCAGTTTTTTCTTTTTTTATATGCAAACTGATATTTAGGGACTTGCACTGACATTTTGGGTGGCATGTACTCAACTGAAAAAAGGGTACCCCTTTTATTTATAAAAATTTAATAGGGCTGCCCCCTAATAGTTGACTAACCATCAATTTTATTAGTCGCTTAATCGCAGAAAAAAAATCCACAGGACGTGGCAAAGTCACGCAGATCAATAAAAGCTGGTCTATGTGGTAATTACAGTACAACGGTCAGGACATCCGAGTGTTCATTTCGATCATCGACCTCAAATGTGGCTTATCATCTGAAACATGGAAGTAGTTGCAATATTACATGGCTGCTCGCTTTAACGTTAGCCTAGAAAATGTGCACTATTGAAGTGTTTGTGCGGAGTGTGGAAGCTGAACAGTAGCACGCTAACTGCATGACCGTTAACTTGGAGGCGCCGGTGCGATCATTTGCATTTAACTTAAAATACTCCATCATTTTTGCTCATACAGATAAAAGTAATGCATCTTTCAAATCTGTGAATCGGTCTACTTTTGTGTGCACTCACAATAACAACAAAACGTTGTGCTTTTGTAAAATAATGAAAGCAAAGAGGGTGCACTTTCTGCCGTCTAGGACTCTGTGAACTTCAGCACGTAAAAAAAAAAAAAAAAAAACGGAAAAATATATCTATAGAAAATGTCTACTTTTAAATGAACCAATTCAAATGGAAAACATATATTTTTAGGTTATGTGATCCGTATGAAACGTGCACATCCACTGTGGAGATGAGTCAGTGTCGTCAACTTCATCACTGCAGCAAAAAATACAGAAAACATCAATCAATGAATTATTATAATGTTAAAGGCAGTCTTCTTGCTGTTTTTTTTCCCCCGTTTTTTTTTTCATAATCATTACTTCTGCCGGTGCACTGTGGCAAGCTTTATGCATGCGGTTGAGTGCTTATAAGCGCTTATGAGCACTTAAAGGCTCATTATTAGGAATTATATGGTTTATTAATATAAACACGCAATTAGTCGACTAATTGATTAAAATGATCGACTTACTAGTTGACCAGAAGAATCTTTAGTCGAGCGCAGCCCTAAAAATTAGTTGCATACTTCTCACAGTGTCACCTGACCCACTGTCACTCCATCACAATCACCTGAATACTGATCACTTGCACATCGTCAGCAGCACCTTCATCAGCTCCTGTATAAAAGCACACACTTCTCCCCAGCTCATTGTCTGGTCTACTTGTTGGTATATGGACCACTTTCCTGCCTACTTACCACCTGCGATTCTCTCCTGCAATTACCTCCAGCGTTCCCCCGTGTCTCCAACATCCTCTATCGTGTGTCTACTCATCCAAGTCTTTCATCCCTGAGAAGTGTGTGCACTCCAGCAAATCCACAATCTCCCTCTCTATCTGCAAAGACAGTAAACCTCTTCATTCTCCAGTATTGCTTTGCTCCATTACTACTTACCCATTGCTACTCATTTACGCATTTTCTCTTTTAATAAAATCACTGTGTGTATTGCCCGCTAATCCTGTCTCTGAGTCTGGTATTTCCATAACAGTAGACCAGAACAAACACCACCACATGATTTCCACGAACCCATTTCAGGAGATCGTGGATTCACTGAGGCGGGCCTTCGCATCCACATTAACATCGATCACCACACCAGTCACTCCTTCAGCACCTGTTCGTGTGGTTAGTCCCATGGCCAACCTGGCACCCTACTCTGGCTTGGAGGAGGGCTGCAATAGATTTTTTTTCTACAATGCTCACTGGCCTCAAGATGCAGTCGCACCAATTTCCTACAGAGAAATCCAAGATCTCCTTTGTAATCACTCTGTTTTCAGGGTGAGCGCTCCAGCGAACGGAAACCATTTGGAACCAGGATGGCCCAGTCACCCAGCCATTCAGTAGCTTCGTAGCTCATTTCTGAGAAGTGTTTGGAAGACCACTTGGTGATTCATCTGTGGGTGAGCAATTGTATCACTTAAACGAGGTAAGATGTCAATAACAGATTATACTCTTTGTTTTCGCACTCTCGCGACCACTAGTAGGTGGAATGAGTGCTTGCTCCTCACCCCCTACCGAGGGGGTTTGGAATCCAAGTTGCAGCTGTATCTCACTGCCTACAATGATTCCATCTGTCTGGAACACTTCATTCAACTCACCATCCGTGTTTCTCATAGTATGCAGACCTGTATGGAGGACCAACAGGGCCAAGAGTCTTCTTCCTACCGTCAACAGCCAAAGTATGCCAGCTCTCCAAAACCAGGTACGGAGCCCATGGTTGTGCACAATTCTCATTGCCCAGGGTCTTTGTACTGCAGAGTAATCTCTTTATGCCCTGTAGAGTATGAGGGCATATAATCTCTTTATGCCCTGTCCATCCTCCTCGACCTGTGGTGAGTTGTATTCATACTCCTAGTTCTCATGCATCTCCACTCACCACTTAAGTCACCCTTACTGCTCGTGATGTCTCTCTTTCAGTACTCACCCTCCTCAACTCTGGGTCAGCCAGCAACTTTATCTTGGGGGAGCTCTGCCATCAACTCCAGATCAAAAGAAGACCCATCGAAAGATCAAAAGAAGACCCATCGAAGTCAAGTCCAGTCGGTAACAGGAAGACCACTCTGCCACTGTCATATGCGTTTTCGTGTGGGACACATCCAGCTTGGCCAACTCCATCAAGAATCTCTGGATTTTCTGGTTCTGGAGGAATCCACCACTGGCATCATCCTGGGGCGTTCATAGTTAAATAAACAAAACCCAGTGCTATCCTGGAAAATAGTAGAAGTCTTGAAGTGGGGTGAAGGCTGTTACCCTGAATGTTTCCCTCTCCTTCCACAAATTCTTATTGACCTGTTTCACATTGACCTGTGAAAGTTCTCCCAGTTTACTCCACGTCCATCAAGAGTCCAGTAAATCAACAATCAGTGGATATACCTCCCTACTATGCCCCCTTCAGTGACATATTCTGTCTAAGAAAGCTTCCCAACTGCCTCCCCACAGGTCATGGGACAGTGCCATAGACCTATTTCTGGGTGAAACAGTGCTCCATGGCAAGATCTATCCATTATCCATCCCAACCCAGATAAGCTCTTTGTTGAAGGGCAGAAAGTGTGGCTCTCGACGTGTGACATCAGGCTGTGTTTGTGTCTCCCGACGCTGTGGTGGCCTCTTGAAATATCTAGTGAACTAGGAAGAATATGGTCCTGAAGAAAGATCCTAGGTCCCCAGATATGATATCCTTGATCCTGAGCTCCTCACTACTTCCATGTGTCCAACCCTGACTTCCTGAATCCAGGAGCAGAGGTCGGCCACCAAAACATTGGGGTCCCTCGGCCCTCAGGAACGGCCCATGGAGTGGGTGCTGTCACGGTGTCACCAGGCTCTACCGTCACTCCCTCACTCAGTTCACAGTTAACAGAATACTGATCACCAGCACCTCATCAGCACCCTCATCAGCTCCTGTATAAAAGCACACACTTCTCCCAAGTTCATTGTCTGGTCTACTAGTCGGTGTACAGACCACTTACCTGCAGACTTACTTTGTGCGATTCTCTCCTGCAATTATTTCCAGTATTCTCCCTGTTTCTCCAACGTCCTCCATTGTGTGTCTACTCTTCCAAGTCTTTATCTTGGAGAGCTGTGTGCACTCCAGCAAATCCACAATCTCCCTCTCCATCTGCAAAAACAGTAAACCTCTTAATTCTCGAATATTGCATTGCTTCATTAATACTTAACCATTGCTACTCACCCATCTCAGTTAATAAAATCAGAGGTGGCAGAGAAGCTGTATTTTAAGTGGCATTTATTGTAGATACATTTACACAGACTGTTTAATGCAGCTCAGAGGTGGCATGAATGTATTTACACTGCAGTTACAATTGAATAAATGTTATAAGATGTTTAAAGTTTTAAATATGTATTTGTGAATATATAAATTGTTCACTTTGCGCTACTTTTATGCCAACACCAGACCAGCTTGCATGTTGTTAAGCTATTGCTAGTTAGGCTGGTTGCATTCAGATATGTGCACGTTTGTGCTGCTATTACTATGCCTACTATGTAAAGGGACTGTTATTCCATTGAAAAACAAACATGTGAATATGAAATTGTTTTGTTTTAAAAGTTTTTGCATTACTCACAAAATAGATTAAAATCTATCAAATAATGTACATTAAAGTCGGAATGAAACGGAAGTTGCGATTGTATTTTCTTCTCTACTGTGACGTATATCCGAGTGAAACGTCATCTGAAATGAGAGGGCGGTACTTGATTTCGTCCTTCGGGAATTGATTGGATTGTTGGAAGTTGGGGTGTTGCCAACAAAATGGAGGCAGATCTGAATGCCAATTTGCAGTTAGTGGTGGGGTATTTCTCTCCACTGGATTCACAGCCGACACCCAAGCATGAATAAATGTTTTATTTATTAAGGATGACGACGACGATCAGCGGCACAACACATGCCTAAACAGCGTGCGCGAGAGAGAGAGAGAGACTGCCTGAATGACTGAGCGCGTCCTCCATCAGGTTAAGTCATATTCATGAAAAAAATTAGTTTGCGATGTCCTAAGAGTAATGTGCTACAGCACAGCAGCTCTTCTTCTTGGTTTTCTCTGATGCACTAACTCTGCAGCAGCACTTCTTCGTCATCTTGTCTGATGCACTCACTCAACCAAGCGTTCTAACCACAACCTCGCCCCTCCCCACCCCCTAACCATTCGAATTTCTGTAGGCGGGAATTCTTTGTAATGATATTCTAATGAGCCACTTTGTGATATCATAAAGCCCGGAAACCAAATGCTGTAGTCCAAACGAGCCGTTTGCTGTAGTTCTTGAAAATGGCTTTTTAAAAAACGAAATATCTCCCTTTGGAGTGGACTTTGAGATTTGTAACTTTCTAGATCTTTTTTATGCCCAAACATACACACTACACACTGACTAAAATTAAAAAAGTGAAAAAGCATAATAGGACCCCTTTAAAGATTATGAGGGCACATGAATTTTAAAAAAATAATGAAGTGCACGGATAAATTATTTATAATAAACACTACAGTATTCCATTAAAAAATAAGAATTTTCAATTTTGATTTCATGGTGATTTTAAAGTGTCATGAAACCCTAAAACACATTTTTTGAGATGTTAACATATAGTGTATGTACAGGTTGCACATCAGTGAAAACAATAATAGCACTCATTATGTCTATTATTAAAGAAAAGTGGTTATTTTTTCACTTTTTCGAGCAATTTCGTTCTTCCCTTTCAAAACGAAAAGTTGAACCAACGTCACGAAAAGTGTCTTAATTCGTCTTAATTCGAAGTGGCAATTGGCGGCCGTGGCTGGAGAGTACACGTCTACGTGATCAGTTTCCCAAGCTTTTCTCAGTATTATTCATGAGAATTAAGTCTTATGATCCAATCACTGCGCTGTATTATGCATGAGGTCGTCTTACAGCGGAGAATTCAAATCTCATGAAAGAGCTTCCGCGCTGTCAGTTAATTTCTGTAAACATGACCGTAACAATATTTAATGTAACAACACGTGGAGCGAGCATGAGAGAGCGTTTTCTGTGCGGAACACCGCGATGAGTTTAACAACACTTGCTGCACAGATCATAGTTCATATCCGGACCGGAGCAAGTGTGTTTCATTCATATTTTATATTCTCTCATGCCCAAACATGAACCAGCACCGTATACGCGCACATATCATGTCTTTTTCAAATTAAATATGCACAAATAAGTGCACTGATACAGTGGTATGTCTGATCATGAACGCGATGACCGAAAATTCAAAGAAGAGTAAACAAAAAGTGACTGCCTTTATTCTTTCTGTTTTAAAGATATTTTAATATTCATTTGTCTGTATAATGAGTGTGTTGTAGGTCTGTGTTTTATTGGTTGTTTTCTCTCCTCTTCCCACCCTCTACACTCCCACTTTTCCACAGTTTTACACCCATTTCTGGAGTCTTTTTCAGATCTAAGGTGTGAAAGACCAGTGCTGAAACAGGGGGGTTTCATGACACTTTAAGTTCAGTCTTAAAGTCTTTCATTCTGTCATGTCAGTAGTAGGTTATGGACAAACACATAAGCACAAGTAGCATGAGAACGACCCAAACAATATGAATTGCGATTTCCCCTTCAGATTTACACAGTTGTCCTGACCGAGTTGATTGGGTGGGTGGTGTTCCAAGAGTGTTGATATCATATATAACTCATTGAGATTAGGGATGTCAGTAATTGATTGCTGATCAATTGATCGCTGTTAATTATTTAATCATTTAGGCTTATCAATGTCACCTGTTCCTCTTTGTAATTGCCTAATTGTTCTCACCTCTTTATTGAAAATTTAAAAATTCTGTAATCATTTACTCACCCTCAAGTTGTTCCAACCCTTTATGAATTTCTTTCTTCTGTTGAACACAAAAGAAGATATTTTGAAGAATGTCCATAACCAAACAGTTGATGGTCTCCATTGATTGCTATAGTATTTTTTTCCCCAAACTATAGAAGTCAATGCGGACCAGTACCTGTTTGGTTACCCACATTCTTCAAACTATCTTTACCAGAAGAGTGTAAGAGATTGTCTCAGTTTACAGACTTAACAATGGTTCCCTGAGAGGGGAGCGAGACTTTATGGGGAATGCTTTTACATGACTGTGTCTGAAGCATGTGTACAACTACTCCAATCCTGATTGACACTGTGCCACTCGTGACGTGTGATGGCATACGAGAAAGCTACAAAGGACACTTGTAACAAAACAGGTTCCTCTGGGGAAGCCATGGTTTCATTTATAACCTGAGACATTCCCCTTAGAGGAACTCGCGCTGCATCCAAATCATGATGCTATGGGGAATGAAATGAACACTGTGCCATACTGTGAAATGACTGTCTTAGTATGAAACTGTCTTGCACAACTGAGCACAAAAGCACTCGAGAGCCTGGTGTAGCAGGGAGGTCGAGAATATAAAATCTTATAAACGTGTGTGGGGAAGACCATCGTGCAGCATCACAGATCTCCTGGAGGGGCACCCCCAAAAATAACGCTTTTGAAGTTATGACACTTCTAGTAGAATGAGCCTTTAATGATAGAGGTGTGCCTCGTAGGCACTAGATATCGCTTTCACAATCTATTTGCTAATGGTTTCTTTAGAGGCTGGGGTCCTGTCCTTGGGGGTCCTGAAACATACCAATAACTGGTCAGTTTTCCTCTACTGAGACTTTCTTTGAATATAAGAATATAGGTTGGATGGCAGCTATGATCACCATGTAGACCTTAAAAATGGAGGGGTATAGACCCACATAGAAACAATTCTGGAGGAACGCCAACACTGAAGCCACTGGGCAGTTAACTGGATCCAATCGGTGTTCCCTGCACCATGAGGTGAAAACACTCCACTTCAAGAAGAATGATTCCCTCGTGGCAGGAGCTATAGAGTTATAGAGTGGTCTCTGCAACCTCAGCCGAAAGACCAGAGTTCAGGAGCCATAGGGGCCAGACCTACAGTTTCCACGTCTCTGGCAGGGGGTCATATATTGTGCCTACGACTTGGAATAGAAGCTCCCTCCAGATGGGGATCTCTCACAAAGGACTATTCAGATGGGCTATAAAGTCCTAAAACCACATTAGGGGCCAGTCAGATTGGGGGCCGGGTCTACAAGGAGTAGACTGATCCCGTCCTGGTGAACTCGCTCTAGAACTCCCGGGAGCAGTACAATTGGGGGAAAAGCATATAGAAGTAGCCTCGGCCATGTCTGTACCATGGCATCCAGTCCAAGAGGAGCTGGATATGTGAGGGAGTGGATAGTGGGTTGTTTCTTGTTGTGCGAACAGATCTAATTACCTGAGCCTGCTCGGGGGGCCACCACCATCGACAACATGGCATCGAATTTTGGTGGTCTAGAATCGAACTGGATTCTGTATTCCCTTTTCTATTGCATGCAGGACCCACTGACACACAGTCAGCAGAAGTTTTTAGGCTGCCGAAAAAGTCTTCTAGGGGAATAAGATTTTGCGAGGCTGACCCCGGGTGTATCTCGGGACAAGGCAGGGGATGAACCTTTCGAAGTCTGATGATTTTCATTTAGCCTCCTGGAACCTCTTGACGGCCAAACTGACAACATCACTGAAGAGGCCAGAAGGAGACAGCGGGGCATCAAAGAAGGTGGTTTTATTTCTGTCCTTGGTGCTTGATAGATTGTTTCTCTCCATGGCCACTAATGCTGACATGGAGCAGCCGATGACTCAGGCTGTCTCCTTGGTGGGCCAGAGACAAGTCAGTGACCTGACGGCAATCATAACTTGCTTTTGTGGCACACTTACTGCATTTCTGCTGGTCATTTGATGTTAATCTTAGACATGGTATGGGTCATAACCGTCACCAGCTTCTCATAAGCAGGGGATATAGATGGTGAGTCCTCCATATCTCCCACCTTGATGAAGAGACGATATCCACCTCCTCAGAGCTGGACAACATCAACATCGGGCTCTCACTCGGGGTGGAAGAATCCTTGGAGCAGGCTTCTGGATCCCAAGTGCAAATGCTGGAGCACATGGGAGAGAGCCGAGAAAGGGCCGAAGCCATCTCCGGGAGCTCCACTTACGACCCCCAATATCGAAGCTGCCGCACTGCCTCCAGGATCAGAGCATTTTGATTGGCAGCTGCTCACAATGCGCACCCCTTCAAGAGCTGACCGCACATGCTCTGCTCCCAAGTTGTGTACACACAAATTGTGTGTCCCCACCCATGATGTAGCATGGGCAGGGAGGTATACATGATCTAAACTGCTTCTCACTCACCAATACTAACAACATCACCATAATAACACTTTAACTCTCTTTTTCTTTTTACTTTGACACACACATACCAACAGGACAGACAGTTTAACACAAAGCACATGTTGAAGAGCAGAATCTAACCAGTTTTTTTCCCTGGCATCCTTTGTAGCTTCCGCAGTACACCATCACACATCATGAGTGACACAGCACCAATCAGGATTGGATTGCTTCAGACGTAGTCTCGCAGAAGCATTCCCCACATCGTTAGTGCAAGTTCCTCAAAGGGGAACATCGTTTGCATTGTAAATGCAAACAGGAAGATATCATGGATTTAAACAATAGACTTAAAAAATTGTGCTTTTGGTGCACTTGGTTCTAGACCAGGTCTTTGCTCTCGAAAGGGGTGGAAAAGGCCATGTAATGTTGGGATTTGACCCAATGATGCAATCCTTGGTTCATCATGCAGTGACAAGGATCCTGAAAAGCACTTTCTGTCCAGTAAATCTGGTTAAATCGAGCAGTCTGTAGCTACACTTTATGCTCTGGGTTCCATGTGGAGGGATTACTAATTGAATGTTCCTCTTTTGATGTTAATTCATTTCATGATACTCGTCAATGGTCCACGCATTGATCAGTCTGTGTGATTGTGTATGTTTGGGCAGATGTAGATGAATGTTCCCAAGGCCTACACACCTGCAATGCAGACCAGATCTGCTACAACACAAGAGGCTCCTACACCTGTCAGTGTCATCCTGGATACCAGAAACATGGAGAACAGTGTGTGGGTAAGTTCACACTGCACTCTAGTCATCAAAGCAGCCTACTGATATAACTCAGCAATATATACAATACTTATAATCCTGTAATAAGTGTATATATAATCATGCTGGTAAGTGCAGGTTAGCAATGTTTTTGGGTTGTTCTAGAAAACAAAACTTATCTGGTGAAACTGCTGAAGCACTGGTCAGCCAGTGTGGCCGTTCTAGTCAGTGTGGTTGCTGGTTAAGCTAGAGGGTCAACAGGTTTTAGTTGAACCGGTCTAGAGGGAACTCTAGTCGGGAGAGGTCTTCTCTAGTGTCTATTATGTCATTAGTATCAAATATAAATACTTCTGTAAAAAACAACAGTACACTTATATTGTTTGTAAATAATATGCTTATTATAGTGAAATAAATAAAGATGATAATTGGCTTTAAATCAAAATAATCTCAGGGAGGCACGGAAATTAAAATTCTAGGCCAAAAATAAAAAAGCAGATTTTTTTTTTCTTAAATAATAGACACATTTACTGGATATTTTTCTTACCCGTAATTAATACAGTAAGTGTTGGGTAACAAAAGTTCTCAGCATTTCTGTCAAAACAGACATTCTCATTTACATATGTGACCCTGGAGCACAAAAGCAGTCTTAAGTTGCTGGGGTATATTTGTAGCAATAGCCAACAATACATTGTATGGGTCAAAATTATAGATTTTTCTTTTATGCCAAAAATCATTAGGATATTAAGTAAAGATCATGTTCCGTGAAGATATTTTGTAAATCTCTTACCGTAAATATATCAGAACTTAATTTTTGATTAGTATTATGCATTGCTAAGAACTTAATTTGAACAACTTTAAAGATGATTTTCTCAATATTTAGATTTTTTTGCACCCTCAGATTCCAGATTTTCAAATATTGTCCGATCCTAACAAACCATACATCAATGGAAAGATTATTTATTCAGCTTTCAGATTATGCATAAATCTCAGTTTTAAAAAATTTACCCTGATGACTGGTTTTGTGGTCCAGGGTCACATTTATGGATTTAGCAGACACTTTTATCCAAAGCAACTTACAAAAGCAATGTCAGGTTTATTAGACAGCTTTTCGATGTATCTCTAAGACTCTAAATTAAGTAAGTGAGTAGGTAAGTAAGAAAGTCAACTTAATTAGGTTCTTGGTCTGAGGTCCCCCCGCCCCGTTAAATTAAACTCCCTACTATGATTTTATTTAATAAAACTTTCTGAAACATGTTAATACGTGTCTTCACTACCTTCCACATTAGACTTGGTCAATTAAGAAAATCTTCATCTGTGAAAAATTTTTTTTCTGTCACCCTGTAAATGTGTTAAGAATACTGTATAAGCGTATCCAAGCACTGTGTGTGTGTAAACCTCTTTGCAGATAGAAATGAGTGTATGCTATCACACTACTGCATGCACAGATGTGTGAACACTGCTGGCTCGTATTACTGTGAGTGTAAAGATGGCTACCAGCTCGCCAGCAACAACCACAGCTGTGTAGGTGAGTCAAAGACCTAACCTGCCTTTGTATCTGCACAGCTTTGCTCAAGAATGTGTGTTCAATGGAATTCAAGATATCCTTCAGTATCTCTCTAAACTTCTGTTTTGCATTTGCTCTCACACTCTGGTGGTCCAGGCCTGTACTTAGACACATATACTGTATTTTTAATTTACATCTCTCTCTTTGTAAACAGCATATCACATTGAGACAATTAATTAAAAAAATTGCAAGGTGTTGAAGGGGTTTGTTGGAGTTAATCTGAAAAATATAAAATGTTAAATAGCAGTCTGTTTTTAAGTGTTATATTGACTGTAGAAGAATCGTTATTGAGCAATACACAGGACAATTCTTATATTAGAATAGTACTCATTATCTTTTTGCGCTTATTATCACTTTTAATACCATAAAGTGAAATAGATGTCAGTACGATATAAGGGCAAGAAGGCCTAGCTGATATATTATCATATTAGCATGCTTCACAGTTCTGCCAAGAATTTGATTTCAAATATTTAACAAAGAAATGTAAAACATCTCATAGGGTGGATAGGTGTCAGACTCTGTTACGAGTACGCCAGGGAGTTCTGCAAGCTCGCTGAGGTGACGGCGTTAGGGGAAGCCGTCCTCAATCAGCTGTTCTGGCTCGGGGCCAACTACCATCGCCCCGTGGACCTCCAAGACACCACTGGGCTAACTTGGAGGGAAAGTGTTTTC